TGCCACTGAAGATCAAGGGACTTTAACAAGCATGTTTCCTCCGTTCCTCCTGAGGTACAGCTGGTAGAGATGGAGTGACTGATACCGTCCTTTAAACTTAAGAATTTACTTGGAGAATGGAGGTGACTTTGCCTCTCATACAGAGGACATAATGGAAACTACTGTTACAGAATATTTTGGAAGGTTTAACTGTTATTGTAAAAATGAATGAAATGTTTAATGTTCTGAAGACAGCAATGCAAAAATCCTCCACACCAGGGTATTTTACACTCTGTAAAGCAGCTCAGAATTGGAGGTTAAAATTTAATTATATCTTTCCCTTTTTTTGAAGGGCCCACAACTTCCTCCCCTCCTTTTTTTTTTCCTGACCGGTTCTTTTCCCTTCTTTCTTTATTGCAGCCTATAGAAAATGTAGTTAAGTTCTTCTTGGTGCTTCTTTAAACTGTTATTTTTCTAAATCTATGCTAACTACTTAATTCACTTGAGATGCTTTCTGGATTTATGCTCCCTTGAGTACACGCCCTATTTCATGTTATGCATCTTCCAGCAGTCTGTGCTCTGCACATGCTCCCATCTTTGTAGTTCCTCACGGCAGTTTTGTCTACTTTCATCTTTTCTGTCATAGTATTGTTTTTTATAAAATTTTAGAGCAACTTGCTACTTGGGAAATTGTATTTCTGAGAGGTTGGAGATGGTAGTTGTTTTCTGCTCTGTAGAATTTCTGAGGTTTCCCAGGCTATTTTCTTGTCTTCGCTCTCTGTATGACAGGCCTTTATGATTTTTAAAGGCAATTTTGGTTTTAGTGTCATCAGCACACGAGTGCATCCTCCTAACCCTTTTTTTTTTTTTTCCTCTGACCATGTGGCCTCTGTGACTTCAGTTTGCTACAAGGAAAGCAAGCAGGGAGAACTGACTGAATCTGGTTGGGACAAACGAGCAGCTTTTTTTATTTCCCAATCTTTGACCCAGGCAGAGGTTCAAAAGCATTCCAAAACTTGCTGTTTCTGAACTCCAGAAACAAATCTTTTAGTTGGTTTGGTGTTTACAGCTTTGAACCTGGATTTCATTATGGTTACCCATGCCTCTCTGACTCATGGACTACTTGAATGTCTGCGATGCATTCTCTCCTCACAGCCTTGCTTGCAAGCAACTCTAACGCTACGGCAAAGTTGGAATGCAAATACGTGCCATTGAACGGCAGCATGAGAGAGTGACAGTGGCTAATCGCATCTTGAAGTGTACTCAGAGACAAAAAATGTTATCTTCTTCAAAATCCTCTCAAGGAGTTTATGACTAAAACCTGGCTTGAACCTTGCAGCCAGATACAGTGATCAAATCCAACCTGTGTGAATTAAGAATCTTCCAGACTGTGCAGATCCCTTGCAATAACCTATATGTTGTTTAGGATAACTTTTTAAAGTAACTGAATGTAACAGATGTTTTTGTTTATTACTGTGTAGCATCGCCACCTCAGTAATAACATGTTTTTACTTCTTATAGGCAAGAATAAGTCTAACCTTCTTTTTCTGTGTTTTTTGGTCTGTAGGTTTTTTTGGAGGTGAGTGGGAGCCAACTCCAATATTTAATTATCTGCTCCAGCAGTCCTTGACATCAGTTAATCACCTAATATTACCAATGTTAGTATCTGTATCTACCAGTTAATAAGCACACTAAAATGTATTTTTACAGTGATCAGTAGTGACATCCCTGTCAGTATTTCTGCGAGGCTGAAAAGACATAGTTACAGGGGGGGTATTCAGTCAAAAAACACGTAAACTTTAGAGAAATGGTTAAAAAGGCCACAAATTGAGAGTTGCTTATATTAATCTTTTGCCTTTTTTGCATTTATAATAGAAAAATGACAAAATATATAATGAAAGCTCATGAAGCTCAGAGATCATGAGGAATTGCTTCCAGAAATCAGATGGAAAAAAAAAAATCAAAACCAAAAACCAGTTGTGAAACTTCTGAGCTCCAGCGTTAACAGTTATTGACCAAATGAAAAAAATTTCTGCTGCTTAGTTGTTTCCTTCTTTTTGTTTGCAGTAATGGCACATATATACACGTACGTGTTACTTTATACTAGAAAGGATTCTTCAGAGGCTCAGACTGGATGACAGGCAGCAGGCTTCTCAAGATCCGTAAGGGGTATTTCATTGTGCACGCTTCCTAGGGCTTGGGTTGTCCATGTGAAGGCCAGGAAATGAGGAGTAGGGGTGGGTCTTTGCTACTAGCTCATTCAGCAAAATGCTAAACCACAGCTTCCTAAGCGTTAAGGCAGTCACTCTGACAAAGAATGCTTTGTATGCTTGCTTCCCCATGTGCAATTTCTTTCTGCAATATAAATCGTCTAATTCATTAGTTGTCTAACATAATTTCTGCGGTCCCTCATTTTGATGCATCAGATTTGAGAATATTGTTCCAAATTGTACAGTGTGAATAAAATTATTAAGAAATACCAAATTTTATAAAAATTAATTATAACTCACGTTTTTCATCTTGGAATAATATATAAACAAGGCTTCATTTTGCTGTTGGGATGTAAAAATTAAAATGTAACTTTAATTATGGCCTAAAAATTGTCTTGCTGAAGCTGGTAACACTTCAGAACAGCTCAAGCTGACTCCATAATGATTACTGATGCAACTGTCAGATTTAACCTAGTAATAAAAATAACATAGATAGTAAAAAAAAAAAAATAACCCAGACTTGGTAACACTTATGCAAGATGTGTCCTTTTTGTCAAGAAGGTCAGCAGTTTTGTTTTGTTTTGCTCAAATAGAACATGATGGCATTATTTGGTTGTTTGCATTTTTAAATTCTCAAATGAAATTTATCTGCAATAACAACTTTGTTTTCTTCCTGGAATGGAGGGTGGGATTTAATTTTGTTGATGGTACAGTCATCTCTGAAGACTCATTGTCTAGGAAACAGTGGACTAGCTTTACGCATGGCATAGTTTGTATGTGAAAGCTATGTTTTTCAGTTTAAGTATCACAATTTTAAAGTGTTTGGGTTTTTTCCAGCACAAAAGATCTTCTAGCATGTCTCCTTCTTAAGGTGTAGTTGTTTTTTTCATCTGCTTCTATTCCTTAAGAATCCAAACAGAGTTAAAATCACTTGCACAAGCCCTTCTGCTCCGTGTGGGTATTATAATAGTTGAACTAAGCTGAGGAAACCAGGCCTGGTAAGTCTGGAGAGGGCTGAAGGAGGTCTGACAGTACTCTTCCACAGCCTGTACAGGGGTTACAGAGAAGACAGGAGCAGACTTGTGTCCGACAGGCACAGTGAACAGACGAGAGGCAACAGTCCTGTGTCGCTACAAGGGATGATGCAGTTGCACAGAAGACAAAAATTCCTTACCCTGGAGCGGTTTTGTGGAGGGGGCTGTACAGTCTCCCCCCTCAGCTGCTTCTGGGCTGGGATCAACTGTCAGCGTAGATCACAGACCTCTGCAGGGGTTTTCTAAAAGCAGAAGATGGTGTTTGTGGCTGCAGGGGAGGGATAAGAGAGAAGGAAAAAGCTGCAAAAGTTGATCTATAAGAAGCATGTTAAAGGGACTTAGAACTACAGCAATGAAACAAAATGTGTTGTTGCTGTCTGGGCCAGAGGAGTCTTTCTGGTGGTGCTGAGGGGACCTGTGACAGTGTCCCCTCTTCCACTTTTCTCGTTTACCCAACTTTAACGAAAACAGCTGCGGAGGGGGATTAAAGCAGTAGGTCGCCAAGGGGCTCGTGGGGCCGGGCTGTGCTGCTCCTCGGCCGTCCTGGTCTCGCCCCGCCGGGCTCCGGGACGGGAGCAGAAGCCCTGGTGGGCCGCCGCAGGAGCAGCCCCTGCTTCTGCCCCCTCCGCGGAGCGGGGG